GGTAATAGGTTCTGGTGCCCGAGAGACCACAGTGGTGCATGGTGAACTGTTCACAACCTTTTGCTGGGTTGGTGGTGCTAGGGCCACATTGGGGGCCACAGCTGTCTCAAAGCTCTTGTAGGAGTAAAAGCTGTAGGAGGCACAGATGCTTAGCTGGGGCACATCTGCTTCACAAGTCCCCACAGGAGCTGTAGAACAGGCCCTGCAAACTCAGCCAGGACACAGCAAACTATCTTCTCCCAACTCTAAATCACAGGTCAAGGTTCTAATGATTGGGAAACACAAATTTCCCCATAGGCTGGGCTAGGATGGCACACAGCTGGATCTTCATGTCCATGGAAGGCTATTACTTTTATTTTATTTTGAGGTAGGATCTCTATGTAACCCTAGCTGGCTTAGAATTTGTTATATATTCCAGGTTGGCTTCAAACTCACAAAGATTCATTTGCCTCTGCCTCTTGAATGCTGGGATTAAAGGCGTGGATCTCTGTGCCCTGCTGGGAAGCTAACTTTAATAGACAGGTCTGTGAACACAGTAACCTTACCCAAGACTTTAAAGTTCTAGATAGTTTATCCTAGGACTAAAGGCACCAACACCACTGCAGCCTGCTAAACCGGAGTTTGGTTCTCCTGTGCACTCCTCACTCACCTGTCTCGAATCAGGGCTGGGAGGTGTGGGGAGGTCTCTTTCTCACTTGCTGACACTGCAGGGGACCAGGGCCGGAAAGCAGAAAGGCGCTGGCGAGGGTGAGCGCAGCCAAGGCTCTGTCAAGAGAGTCCCCTATGTAAGTGACTACAGAGAAACAGGCCACTTTGTGTCCCTGAGACCAGGTAGAGCCAGAGTTGGCTCCAAGAAGGGCCTGATACCCTCCCCAAAGACCCCAGACAGGTTCCCACATAGCACCTTATTGGAGGAACCAGCCAAGGTCCGCAGCCAAGTGGACTGCTTGTCCTTCTCAGAAGACGCAGGGGACTGTGAGGAAGTGTCGTCTGCTTTGGGTCTTATGGAAGCTGGGGGCTCTGAGACCTGTGATCAACACAAAAGGCCCTGTTGGGATCCCTGGGCCCAGGCAGGGTCTAGTCTTCCTACCCGCACCATGGCAGCAAGCTCCCCACTGGATCATCATAACTCCTATGAAGCTATGAAGGAGCCCCATGTACCCAGAATATGTGGAGCCATGAACATAGTGTACCCTTGGCCCTGTGCAGAAAGGTAAGCCTGATGCCTCTGCTGAGGGGCAAGGGCGTCACATGAGAATAGAGAGGACACTGTGCAGCTGTGGGCTGCTATGAGGTGACCTCACTCACAGCTGCAGCAGGCTCTGTGTGGATCTGCCAAGATCCATTCTGGTGTCCACAGTGCTCTGATCCTTAGGTTCTTTGCCTTCGGTCTACACCACTTCCTTAGAATACAGATATATGTTGCTGGAAAGGCTGAAGGGGACTAGTCCCACTCCATGGCCCATGTCAGGAATGGGATAAATGACCCAGCAGTGACCACAGCTCAAACGTAAGCCAGTAAGCAGCTATGCTCAAGCTCAGAAGGAGCCTGGGAGGGCTGCCCTCGGCCCTTGTCACTGCTTCATTAGGGAGCATTAGAGAGACACCATCTCACCAGAGGAAAGAAACATTCATCTTGAAGGACCGTGACACACTGCACAAAATAAATAGCTTTACCAGGTGTTACCTTTGCTGTCAGAAGCTTACAGAAGCTACTCAGCACCCTAGCTTATCTCAGGCACCAGTTGTGGTCTACTTTGACACTCAGCACTAAGTGGCACACACCTGAGCCAATTTGTGTGGAAAAGCCTTGACCCTCCACCCAAATGTCACCCACCAGAGACATTCCATCTGCAAGACAATCACAGCATGGGCCTCACCCAGAGCAGAGCAGCCTATAAAAGCTAGGCTATACTATCTCCCCCAGCTAGGGCCTAAGTAGATGATAGGGACCCTAGGGCAGTAGAACCAACAGACATAACAGGGTTTACAGCTCAATCCCAGGCACAGCTGCGCCTAGGGAGAGGTTACCTGGGGCGGGGTGGGGCTGGGGATGAAGCCAAAGTGAGGTCTCTGGCCTTTAGACAAGGGGCCTCAAGTATACACAAGAGCAGGGTTCTTCTCCAGAATACTTGGGGAAACTCCCTACCACACAACTGCCCAGCGGAAGTGAGGCTGAAACCTTGCCCCCTGGAAGGGGCATAAGAGGCAGGCAGTCGAGGTGCCAACTTCCATGAAATTTAGACCGGAGGGACGGATCAGCCCTAGTGGAGGCCTTCACCAAGGCCCAGGTAGTGTCTAGTGCTTGTGCTGGATCCCCATCCCAGGTACCTGAGAAGTCTGCTGCTCTTCCAAGGATAATCCTTATTGGGACCACCTCTAGTGCTCAGAAAGAGAAGGACCTGGTGGTATAGGGAACCACTGGAGGGACTACATTGGTGTTGTTCCCAAATAAGCAGCTACCTAGGGGATGAGGCAGTGCTGTTCCTGGGGCACTGTCAGAGATAAACAAAGGCTCAGCTGGGGTGCACGTTCCTCAAAGACACAGAAATAACCAAGAAAAGAGACACAGAAACCACCTCAGTTGTGTTGTAGCTTTCTAGAGGAAATGAGTCTCAACGTCACAGTGTCATTCAGCAGAGGCCCTGTCAGTGGAGGCCATGTGTACCCCCCCTGCAGGGGTAGACACCCAAGATGCTGGCTGGGGCAGAAGAACCCACTTCCGTAACTGCAAGGATCCCTCCCACAGTGAAGGCAGAAGGGTGGTGGTGTCGCACACCAGGGTGGAGCTTCCTGCCCTAAGCAGACACTGGCTGGAGCAGGTGCAGAAAGTGAGCTCTATTCTTTCACAGAGAAAGCCACAAGTCTAGTCTGGTGCTGACTTGAAAACTCCAGAGACCTTGGGGGTGGGGAGTATGAGACACCTCAGGCAGCCTCATAAGCCAGACTGTGGCCCAGCAGAAAAGGCTAGAAAATAGGACCACTGGATGAGGCTGCTTCCTGTGCAGAAGGGCAGTGTGTGTATGTGTGTGTGCGCGCGTGCACGCCCAATTAGTGTATTAGGGTCAAAGTCTCCTAAGGCAACCCAGCTGCTTCAGACATGAGATGGGGAAGCCCCTGGAGCTAATGGAGGAGTCTGCAGGTACTTGGAGCAACTCTCCTGAGATTTTCATAAAAAGCCCAAAGGCAGGAAGAACTCTTACAGAACAAGGAAGTCTTAAAACTAGATGATGACAGGAATTCCCCCTTTAACACCAAGCTAACGCCAAGTTGCAAAAGTGAGGGTGAAGCTGAAGGGCATTTGTCAAGCAAGAGGACCCTGAAGAAGGGCCACCTGACACATGCTCTACTTTTCAAAGCTGCAGAGATCTCAAAGGCTTCGTCAGGCCTGGGATATCACTGTCCACATTAGAGATACCAGGGATCCTAGAAGTCAGCCAATGGTTAGGGACAAAGCTGTACCTTATGACACACCATAGTGTTTCCCCTCTAGGAGCACCAGTTAGAACCAGTCGGTTACCTCTGATTTCTGACCTTTTGTGTGGCCTCAAAAACAGCCCACAGCACCTACCAGCCAGGAAGTGGGCTCTGGGCCCACATGCCAAGACCAGGACCTGAACGGGTCTACAAGAGGCAGCCCTGCCCCCAAAAGTCCAATACCATGAGGCCATTATCAGGCTGTATCAGGGGAGGAGCTAGTTGGGCTGGCCACAGCAGTGCCCTGTGGCCACTTCCTCTCTGGGGCTTCAGACAGTGGATGTTTGTTTTCCCCCACATCCCAAGGGCAAAGACACACTGAGAACAGGTGCCACTGAGTGTGAGCCTCTGCACCTGTGCAGGAAGGGCAGGGCCAGTCAGGGCTGTGGATACCATAGGTCCCAAAGCAAGTGAAAAGCCAGCTGCATATGCCCACCCTACTCCACCCCTCCATACTCTACATTGTGGGGTCTGTGTACTCTGACCCATAGGGAACTTAGGAATTCCTTACCCCCACCTCCAAACATCCACCTCATAAAGAATACTTGAGACACTCATGCTGACCAAGACAGAAACAGGGGCAGGACAATACGGGTCCATGGGATACAGTAGAGCCTGGCATTCAAGAGATGAGCTGTGGCCAATGTGGCTGCTGTCTGGAGCACTTGCCTCTAGCCTCAGACAGTACAGAGAACAGTGAGGCAGAGCCTCGGGGATCTGTGGCTAGCAGGAGTCACACAGCACAGGTTGGGGACTCTAAACCAGACAGGCGGTTTTTCCTGTGGATGCCTATGCCCAATAAACAAAGACAGTAGGTAGCTGGAGAAACCCTCACAAGGCATGGCAACTTGCCAAAGGCAGAGGGCCCTTGGCTAGTGCTTTGGAGACAGTGGAGAGTGAGCTTGGGGCACACTAAAGGAGGCCTGCACACACTGTGCTAAGACCACGGTAACTAAATACCCACAGCAGAGATTGAGACCCAACAGGGGCCCAGGGAAGCCCCTATAGAGCACCTGCTCACCCCACAGGCTGCAGAATCCTGGCAGTCCCTAACCAGCCCCAGTCCTGAAAGAACAAGTTTATTGCCATTCTTCATCCAAAAGTTTAAGAAACTTCACTAGTCAAGAGTCAGCCTCAGAGCGAGGGGTGGTGGTGCACGCACACACCTTTAACCCCAGCACTAGGAAGACAGAGGCAGGAAATAACTGGGAATCCAAGGTCAGCGTGGTCTATATAGCAAGTTCCTGGACAGTCAGAGCTACATAACAGAGAGACCCTGTCTCAAAACAAAACCAGAGTCTACCTCAGAACCTGTCCCCGAGGCCGGCCTGCCCAGCCACCCTTCCAGCCATATCCAGTTCCTTGTCTTTGGTGTGTGGAACGAGAATCCCAAATGCTGGCCGATGGCACTAGGTAAGCTCAGAGTCATAGCAGGATGTGATGGGAACATACAGCCTAACTTCTTATAGTGCTCTGGTCACCGTATCGGATGCCAACCATCTTTGAGTGACCACCAAGCAGCCATCGGAGCACACAGGGGCCCTGCTATGTGTCCCTGGCTGTGTAGACAGTACCCACACTTCAGGGTACAGCCCAGGCATGCTTCTAAGGGACAGAGGCGGGAAAGGCCAACAGAAGAAACAAATGTCAGTAAGTGAGGCTGGCCTAATTCCAGTTGGGTTCTCAGCCTATCTAGTGCCAGGGTCTCTTGTCACTTAGGCTCTTAAACACACAATACGACAGGATGGATTACGAGGGAACACCCAAACTCAACGGTTGCCAACAGCAATCAGGCAGGCTAAGCACTGCTCTCTGTGCCATCCAAAGGGTCACAGCCACCTGGAAGAAGTCTATGATGTCTCAGAGTGCCTCATACCTGAGCATTCCTTGAGGAATGTGTCCCAGGCTTGAGGACTAAACAGTAAGGATAGGAAGGGACTTGGGATTCTGCTTGTGATGGAACAGTTTTCCTAGGTGGGAGCCAGCTCTGTTGTGGGGACACCAAGGAATGACTGTTTAGAAGCTCTCAGAAATAATGAATCTCCCTTGGGACTGACAAGATGGCTCAGCAGTTAGTTAATAGTCCTGGCTGTTCTTCTAGAGGACCTGGATTTGGTCCCCAGCACTTACACAGTGACTCACAACCATCTGCAACTCTAGTTTCAGACTGATGCCCTCTTCTGGCCTTCAGGGGTGCCAGTCATGCATGTGGTATACATACATTCATGCATACATGCAGGCAAACATTAAAAAATAAATACTTTATGTGTATAAATATTTTTTTGTTTGTTTTTTGTTTTTGAGATAGGGTTTCTCTGTGTAGCCCTGGCTGTCCTGGAACTCACTGGCCTTGAACTTATGAGATTTGCCTGCCTCTGCCTGCCGAGTACAAGATTAAAGGCATACACCACAACTACCCAGCTATGAATGTTCAGCCTGCATGCATGTGCATTATATATGTGTCTGTTGGAGCCTCTGCAATTGGAGTTATGGACAGTTTGTGAAGCGCATGTGGTTACTGGGAATAGAATCCAGGTCTTCTGCAAGAGC